GGCTTCAAATTATTAAATATATCAAAGTCTATGACGCGGGGGAGAAGAAACAATTCCAGGTGACTAACTAGGCGCGTTTCGACATTGGTTATGTTCCCCATTTTCGTGAGCCATTCGAATTTACTCGCATCGTTGAATATGGCGTAAATCTTCTCATTATATTTGGTTTTGTTCATGATTAACACTCCTGAACCTTTATCTGGTTGAAGTTGAACAAAGCCGCGGGACCAGATGATCTTCCTCCAGCTATTTTCAAATTCGGAGGCTCTGCTCTTGTTGATACTTTGCATGAATTAATAGTGAAACTGTGGGAGCAGGAGATTGTCCCAACCGACTGGAGCCACTCCGTTATTGTCCCCATCTTCAAAGTCGGCTTGCGCTCGGAATACGGCAACCATAGAGGAATCAGTCTGATCTCCATCGCCTCAAAATTGCCTCCATAATTCTTCACAGACTGACTGACGCTCGTGAAAGGCAGATTCGTGAGGAGCAAGCAGGGTTTCGTCGTGGTCGTGGCTGCATCGACGACATCTTCACCTTGAGTCGGTTGTTGGAGCACCGTCACACATATTGGCGGTCCACCGTGGTCGTCTTCCTCGACATCAAACTTGCCTTCGATTCAGTTGATCAATGTGCCCTTCGGAACTGTCTATTCCGGAAAGGTGTGCCCGAGAAATATGTAAATATTATCCAAGCATTAAATGAGCGTAGCACGGGCACAGTGAGGGCTTACGGCAAGCTGTCGTAACACTACAATATCTTCAGCGGTGTGAGACAAAAATGCCCGCTGTCACCTTTCCTATTCAACTTCGCTATTGATGAAGACATGGGAATTGCATTTACAGGACTTGACTTGGAAGGTGTGGAGCTACTCCCAGGAGAACGACTTCTTGACTTGGAGTATGCTGAGGATATTGCCTTAATCTGTGACAGCTCACAAATGCGCCATGCGGCATTGGACAGATTAGCACTGGCTGTCCGTCGCTTCGGGCTTTGCTTTGCACTACCGAAGTGCAAACGTTCCTCCAAGATTGGCACGGATCGCCCCCTGTGCTGACCCTTGGTGGGGATCAGCTAGAAGTCGTTCAGGAATTCAATTACCTGGGAAGATGTGTCAGCGCCATTGCGATCGAAAACGAGATCACGAACCGTATAGCGAAAGCTCGAAGTGCTTTTGCTAGCGTTCGATACCTATGGCGGCGGCGCGACATTACTCTCGCCCTGAGGGGTAGAGTGTACAATGCAGCGGTACGTTAGACCTTACTGTACTGTTACGAAACCTGGCCCCTAAGATCGGCGGACATGAAGAGGCTAGTTACGTCCGACCATCGGTGCCTTCGCAGTTTGGCTCACATCTGGTGGGAACACCGCGTGAGTAACAAGCATGTTCGACGCATTGTTTACGGCCCAGGAAAAGGATCTGAACCGCTCAGCACCGTTATTTCATGCACCAGGCTCCGATGGCTCGGTCATGTGTTACGCATGCCAGCTCACCGACTTCCTCGACGTGCGTTGTTTGCTCACCGGGGATGTGGGTGGAAGAAGAGGAGAGGTGGCCAAACGATGACTTGGTCGAGAGGAATGAAGTCCCTCACTTCGGAGCTAGCCTCGGTTGGTGCGTCACGGCTCCCTGGTTGGGGTCCAAAAGACGGTGAACCCGTTTGGCTGGATACACTTGCTGACATGGAAAGGAGCCGACCTCAGGGGCGTTCATGCTGTGATTTTCTTTGTCCCTCCCCATCACTTTTAGCCTCCCCCTCTGTCTACAATCTCGTTTCACATGGTAAAACATAATAATTTTTTATGCCTAGTAGCTGCCTGGTAGCTTACCGGAACGATGCCTATCCCTTGCTGGTATCTCAGCTGGCATGCAAATGTTGTATCTATTTTACCTTTGTGCATTGTATTATATGTATGTATGTGTTTCCTTCATGTATTGCGGCACAATAGCGGAGGTGTTTTCCCACCTCTAGCTAACATGTATAATGATGATGATCTGGTTTCATTACGACTACGTCCTTAGCTCGTATTTCGCGTAAAGCCTGAAAATGTCGACCTGTGATGGCACATTTTTCATTAATTGTCATGGTTTTCACCTCATGGGCAATATCGGTTAACATGTTTCTGAACCAAATATGCTTATCAGGGCAGGTTGGTTGGAGCTCCTTAAACTGGTGAAAAAGTTCTCCAATTGAGCTTCTACAAACAAGGTGTTCAACTTTCTAGGAAGGCCTTTGTAATCAAGCCCAAGTGATAATGAGTCCAAGTGCAACGCATCAAGTTGTACGTTCGATAAATTCATCACGTACTTAATAGGCTCACAAGCGATTGGTTCCTCCTAGTGGTTGTTTGTCAGCGAATTTTCTAAACGAGCCGGGCGAATCCGTCTCGTACGTTCAAGTACTTGGTGCACACGGCAGCCAAGAAGAAAGTGTATATAGAGATATCTTTCAAAGGTGACTTAGCCACTCTGAAGAAAATTAAGTGTAAAATTTCGGCTACACAAGAAAGTTACTATGCTGCACATGTTGTCATCATCAACCGAACCCGAAATTTGCCCATATCTTTAACGAAGGAAGCTCAGCCTTTTGGAGCCAACTCACACTGTATATACCAATTTGTATGTGAATGCGGAAAAAGTTACATAGGCAGAACTAGTTGAACGTTGACTTCCCGAATAAAGGAACATGTACCAAGATGGGTTCAACGTAAAGTTGCTCAGATTGCCTACCCCCGTCAGATTCCATGTTCGCGCAGACCGCCGGCTTCCTCGATAGGCAAACACCTATTAGACTCGGGTCAGCAGATGGAGCTGGGCTCAGCGTTTCAAGTTGTGTTACGTCACACTAATCCTCGCTTCCTTTGGTTTGCTGAGGCTGTCGCTATAAGCGGGATTAAGTCAGCCTTGTGTGTTCAGAAACAATTATTTGTTAGTCTAAAGCGGCCTTGGACGTATGTGTGAACTTCCATCATGCGTCTTGCACCTTAAGCTTGTCTGGTTTCACCCACTGTTAGATATATCTATGCATATCGGTTATTATTAATGGTACTGAGGAGACAATACGAAATGCATGCATCTACCAGCCTTCGTCTTCTTTCCGTGTTTTTCAAATTCTTGAAGGGAACTAACTGCTTTATATATATATATATATATATATATATATATATATAACAGTGAATATCTCGACGCAATAAATAAAAGTGCAAAATTACTTGTATTACCTCATTCATTCTGTGCGTGAAAAGAAAAGACACTGTTATTGGCTGGTGTGTCATTTTTAAGTACACGTTGTGTACTTGGATTGCGAAGCGCAATCTTAATTTAGGCCGCGACTATCAATTAAGTGGACGTTGTTCAATACGATCACTAAGACTGTAGTCAAAGCAAATTTAAACGGTGTGTTGCGCGCTCGCAAACACTACATACCATGATGCATTTCGATCTTATTTGATCTCTACAAGTGGAGATAGCAGGCAACGAACCCACGACCAACACAATAGTAGCCGAATCCTCTACCTCTTTGGCTACCCGGTATTGACCAGCAACTCTTGCCATAACGATTAATGACTACACCGTTGCAGCGGGTTTATGTTTTGTTTTAAGGCCAGTACTATCTTGGGACCAAGATTATTGAAAACGTGTCTAGATCGCCAGTAGTGGATGCCATGTTTGTGTGTTACTGTTTTTTACTCTTTCTTGATCAGTAGGATTTTGGTAAACACCAGCTTAAAAAGTCCCTGAGCCTCCCCGCTCCGCTCTCGCGAGGGTTAACCCAGCCATTAAGTAGATCGGTTAGTTATCAAGCGTTTCATTTCACTCGGTGTTCAAGACCTGTGCAAAGGGTATACAAGAGAACTGTGTGAACACACCAAGGAGATGCCTACGGATGATTACAACAACTTAATTTGACGGGTAGTGACTAGGGTCCAACAATTGCAGCCACCACTGAAAAACACAGTATGGGCAGTCAAGGAACCGGCGTTCTTTTGCTTCAGCGCTCCGGTATCCTAAATCAAACGCAAATCATTGTATATAATTTAGAATGAGTGAAATCTTCAAACTACTCTCAGCCTATTCACTGTGACACTTAACATTGGCCAATGTATACTGATGGAAACTGAAAAGCGAAAGAACAAGTACAGAGCTATCTGTGCATGTCCAAAACAAATTCTAAAAATTTGCGACTACAGAATTAAGTTTGGTATATGGAGTTATGACGGGATTACCTGGTGGTCTTTTCGGATTACAACCTCACACAGTTGTTGTAAGTATGTAAATAGTAGCAGGCCAGAGCAGGTACTATTAATAATTATGATAGAGCTGAAACCGTCATGATTAACTGCAAGCCGTAAGGTAAAAACGTACCTGTGACCATCACGCAGTGATTTATTAGCCAACCTGATGGTAGTGAAGCTCATTGGAGGCGAAGATGGCAATAAATTATGCTGCTGCGATTTGTTCCACGGAAAGATCTCACCAGTCCGTGAGAAACTGGTGTAGACTAAAAGTGCAAACCACCGTTGTGTTACTTAGATTGTTGCATAACCACTAATTTGGATGGCATTGGAGTTTACAACACACGATCCTTCCTGAATTCTACGCCAAAGAAACGTGTCGAAAAGGGTGGAATCCCTGGTATTTGCAAATTCAGCTTCACCTATTCATGTTATAGATGAAGATTAGTTCAGCCAGCGTAAAACAGTATCTACGGCTACCACGCATTCATAGAAACTGCATGAATAGCTGCCCCTGAGCAGGGCAAACATGGCTGCCTCGAGCTGGCTTGTTCGACGTACTTTAAAAAGCATGCAAAACAATGCACTATTGCTTCCCAACTCACGGAGCGGGTTGCAGTCCATTTTAAGGTTATACATACTAAGGAAGCACAGGCGAAAGACGAATGCATCCTATAAAATAAGTAAGCGGCAGAGGAACTTGTAATGACAAAAGTACAAACTCATCGACTGAGCATGAAGTAAAGAGTTAGGGACAAACTTACATGTTCAATGAAATGATCTGCTGCAATTGGCGGATTCGTGGTACATGCAGCCAGTTTTCCAAGTAGAGTTCTTGAATGTAAAGGAATGTGTAACGAAGTAATCAGATTAAATATGTGTTTGCGGTGCGGTTTTTAAGCAACTACATTTGTGCTTTAATTACTGACGCATCATATCTAAGCGGTTTCTTATGTTGTCCGCATTGTTTGTATACATAGATTGATTTCCGATTAAGTGCCTTGGTAACTTCTAAATCCGTTTGAAATGGTTCTTTAACAAATCGCATGTCACGAAGATACCAACTACGACATAACTTTCATATGTTTGTTGAAAACTAACAACTACAGCAAAGTTGTAAATGCGTCACCGAAACATGTGACATAAATTCAAGTCAAGTCAGATCGAAGGATGTTATAGGATCCAAAACGGACTTATTATTAGCATTATTACTACTACTACTACTACTTATGCACTGTAGCATAGCATTTGTACAATACGCTGAAGAGAGGAGAAAAATGAAACACATTCAACTTTCGCTCCAACAGCCGCTCGCTCAGCATTATTATGATTTTCGTTGGGTCAACAATCAAGTGTGACAGATAAGGTGATACTACGATACCGAAAACTGCGGGAAACATTTAGATCCCACATTAATGAAAGCGTATAAAAGGTTGCGTTGTTTGAAAATTAACTTCAATAGATGAAATCTGCCAGCTAGGAACTTAGAAGAAAAGTGGTTATATATATCAAGTTGGCTAAAAATGGTCAAATCAACTGGAAGATCTCTACATATATCGCGACATCTAGAATGCGCTCTATTGATCTTATAAATAAGGTGTAGCTTTTTGAAGCAAACCAAAGAAGATGGCAGGGCGAAACATAGACGGAAGGCGATAATACTTGGTCACAAACTTAGACAATAAATTACGGGGTTCTGAAAACACTTTACCAAGGACAAGAAAAGGTTTTCTGAATTTATGGAAGCTACCACAAACGTGTGTAGAAGAAAAAACGTTCTTAGATGAAATGATGACGAGGTACTTCGTAGGGGATGAGCTGAAATATGATGTTTTTATATTCAAGTTGAGGGATATCTATGGCAGACCGTATTATCACCACGACACAAGGAAGAATTACATGCTTGCATTTGGAAGCATTACGAGCAACAGTTATTAATGTAGACTACTTCACCAGTTCTTTTCTCCATATTGAACCGATGAGGAACTTCGACTAATAAAGCAGACACATTCTTTGTCAAATTCATCGGTATATTTGCATCCAGCAAACGCGGGATGTATAGGCAGAGGTTCGAAATATACCGAAACTAGAAAAGGTGATAGGATAACTCCTTGCAGAACACCATATTCGGCCCAGTGAACAGAGACTTGCCGACGGTTAAACTGGGTGAAATGTGTGTGATTTGTAAGATAGTCACTCTACTGATTCCACACACTCGTGCACTTCGTTCTCGGAAAGCCAACTGAGCAATATTGATCTGTCTAGCTAACTTCCATTTACATTTGTATAATCAAACAAAGAAACCGTACGGCGCAATATCTTCACTTTAGTGCAGACATTATAGAATGAGCAAAGTATGTGGAACGCAGGAGACAATATGCGGACCGATAGATACCAGTAAGTATGGCGGTGAAAATTCGCGGTTTAAGCACTGTTTCGATAACTTTCAGCAGCAAAATTTTGCACCGAATGTTGTGATATTCTTAAAATGCATTTTGACGCACCGTAGTTATTCTGCCCGATCTTCAGATGTCTGGAATAACACACATGATGAGGAATTCTCTAAAGAGATCTGTCATAGTTGATGTGAATCATCACATAGTTTTGTACTACCTGGAAGAGAGCATCCGGACCACTAACTTTGCTTAACTCCTTTGACTTCATTGTGAATGTCGCCTTGGTCGCAGTTGGACTTGAGCCGTAGAGCGAAGGCAGGAATTAAATACTGGACGTGGTGAAATTAAACTTCGAATTTAGTATGTCCATTCCTCCTTACCACCCGTCGCAACGAGACTGGACCTTAACATAGTGCGACGGTTTGCGTACCTCATTGACCCATTGAGCTATACTGGGTGATGCCTCCGGGCACCTTGAGAGCTACTCCTACCAAGTTAGTCAATGTTGAGAGGTCAGACAAACTCAGCCTCCTGGTCCTCCAGGTTGGGGGTTTGAAATGGGATGGTGTTCATTTCTGTAAAACTAAATCATTGCCACCCCCCGCTGCCTTGTGGGCAGGCTTTTGAGCCAAAGGCTTTGGATGAGGACCCTAATCGTCCTCCTGTCTAGGTCCGTGCGCCCTGGCAGTATCTCAGCCCACATACAACCATGACATTTTCTTCAAACATAAACTTTATCCTGCATCGGCCGTCGCGCAGATTATCAAGGGTCGCTTTATCTGCTGAATACAGCAGGGCAGATAAGCGAAAACATGCTACTGCTGGCGCCTCCCTTCTTTCTTTTCCACCTGTTCCTCTTACTCCCATCCCGACCCCCATTATTAACCTTACTTCTATAATTCCCAGCTTAATTGACAACAACCAAAGTGCCACTGGAGTAGAACCATCTGCAGCCACCATCCCACAGCACCTATCGGACGCCTTTCGACAAAAGTCCCTTATAAGGCCACTCTGTCCCGTTTCCATGGCGATATTCAACGTTCGCACTCTAAGACAAACAGGTCAGCAGGCTGCACTCGCACGCACCTTGGACACACTGGGTGCTGATGTGTGTTGTGTGTCCGAAACTAGGATCAATGACCCTAACGGGGTTATTGAATTGACTGCACCCGGCTTATCCTCTCGGTATTGGTTGCACGCATCCGGAGACGCCGATGCGGCACTCACGGGTCAAGCTGGTGTAGGTATCATTCTCAGCTCCAAGGCTGAGTCATCGTTGGTTGATTGGATTCCGGTGAACAGCCGTTTATGTGCGGCCCGTTTGACGACATCATTCAAGTTTGATTCACGAAGTAGTACAAAACGCTGTTTGTTTGTGATTTCCGCTTATGCTCCCACCGACTGCAGTTCAGATGTTGTCAAGGACACATTCTATGACGAACTGCAGGCGCTACTACGCAGTGCTACTAGTTCAGATATTATAGTACTTGCAGGGGATATGAATGCACAAGTAAGGCGTCTGAACTCTTCAGAAGCTTAGCTGGGTGGTAATTGTGGGCTTAACTCCGAACGGACTGACAACGATGAGCGTCTGCTGCAACTGTGTGCGGAGCACCAGTTGTTTCTTAGTAGCACTGCCTTTAGACACAGTGGGCGCCGAATTGCCACTTGGCGTCCTCCTGTAGCTGGCCAGCGCTGGACCCAAATTGACCACATAGCCATAAGTTACAGGTGGCATGGTTCCATCCTGGATTGCCGTTCGTACTGGAGTACCTGTGTTGACTCTGATCATGCCTTAGTATGCTGTCGTTTCTCCATGAACTTTACCAGGAGGCGCACCAAGCGTCCCCTACGATTGGCAACGGAGAAATTGTCTCAGTCCTCGGTCAGGCAAGCTTATCAAGAAGCGCTGCGTATCGAACTTCCGCTGTCTTGTCCTAATGACACTGAACTTCAGTGGAATAGGATCTCGGCCGCCATGGACGACGCAGGAGCATTTGCTTGTGGCACTATCCATCGTCACCGCACTAGTCACTGGATATCCGAGAGGTCGGTGAACCTGTTGGAATCTGGAAGACAGCTCCCGACTGGCTCTGAACACAATGTGACCAGACGGGCTATTAGGCGTGAACTAAAGCAGAGCGTACGTGTTGACAAGGAAGCCTGGTGGACCAGTCGGGCTCAAGAAATGGAGGAGGCAGGAGCAGTAGGCAATTACCGGAAACTCTTCCAGCTGATCCGCACCACTGGCCTCAAAAACCAGGCGTCATTGAGACAATCAGAGACAGCGCAGGTGCGCTGATACACAATAAGGAGCGCCGTATGGCTCGTTGGGCTGAACACTTTCAAAATCAGTTCAGCTGGCCCCCTGTTCCCGGACCTCTTCCTACTCAGGTGATGCAGGACGTGCCATGGACGGTTAGTTTAGAGCCTCCCTCAGAGGCCGAGGTTCGAAACGCGATGACAGCCCTTAATCGTTTCCGTGCCGCTGGCCCGGATTCCCTCCCACCTGTACTATTTAAGGATGGAGGTGAGGTCCTCTGTAGCACACTGACCTCCTTATTCGAACGTATCTGGAACGAAGAGAGTGTGCCGGCTACTTGGAGCGAATCGATTATAGTGGCAATATACAAGAAGCGCAGTCGCACAGACTGTTCTAACCACAGTGTATTAGCCTAATGCCAGTTGTGACAAAAGTACTGGCCTCGATTAGCGTTAGTCGCCTCACTGCGGAACGGGAATCTCGGATTAGGGAAGAGCAGACCGGTTTTCGCCCAGGACGTGGCTGTATAGACCATATATTTTCTTTGCGACAGGTGCTAGAGCAGCGCCACCCATACCGCAGACCGACAATAGCTGTGTTCCTCGATTTCAAGCGTGCGCTCTATTCAGTCGATCGATCGATCCTGTTCGAAATACTTGCGCGGAAAGGTGTTCCCACGAAATAAGTGAACATATAACGTGCTCTACACTCGAACACTACAGGCCGCGTCAGGGTCTACGTTGTCCTGTCGGATAGCTTTCCGACCCCAAGTGGCGTTCGTCAGGGTTGTCCGATTTCCCCATTTTTGTTCAATTTTGTCGTGGATTCTCTCATGGAGTGTTCCCTTGCAGAATATCCCCATATAAGCGTTGAAGTACTTCCTGGTGAAAGGTTAGTTGATCTAGATTATGCGGCCGATATCGTCTTGCTTTTCGACGATGTTGGAGCGGCACAATGAACCCTGAATAGCCTATCCAGAGTGGTCCCATTATTTGGTATGCACTTCGCACCTTCAAAGTGCAAAGTGTTGCTGCAGGACCACCGGTCACATGATGACCGCTTGACGCTTGCTAACAAGGAACTTGAAGTGGTTGATCAATTCACTTATCTTGGCAGCTGCATCAGCAATGATGGGCGCATAGAAACTGATGTCAGCTCACGCATTGCAAAAACCA